ATAGGATGCATGCACTCATGAGAGAGACAGAAAGTGAAATATCACCTCCTGGGAGAGATGGCCATGCTGCACTCCCTTCTCCATTCTCTTGGGATCTTGAGCACGTACACACACACACGCCTGGCATGAATTTTAAGCTGCCAGGTCCAGGACTTGAACCACAGTTGACTACCTAGGAGTACAGCGACATAACCATTATGCCATCTGCTGATCCCAGCCCCAATAGGATCTTGATGCTGTGATGTACCCCCAGCCTTCAGCCATTCCTGGACCTGAGCAAGCATGAGTCTGGTGTACTCAGGGAGGTTTTCAGACTTGAAGTGGAATCCCTCATGGGGATTCCATGGATTCATGGATTGTCACATTTTACCACTGTGCTACTGTCTGGCCCCAGGATGGGAAGTTCGGATAGATTCACTGCTGGGCAAACTTCATGCCTGACCACTTTCGAACACATCATGTATAATTTTAAAAAACCCACAAAAACATGCTTTTGTGCAGTAATATACTCATATTGCTCTTCCTTATAGCCCATAAAAAGTATTTGACATTCATAAAATGGTATTTGCCAGCCAAGGGTGTGACTAATTTTCTTTAGACCTTATTTATTTTTTCCATGAGAAAGAGGGGGGCACCCTCAGTGGGATCCTCATGCCGTGACCCACTTCTAGTGTCAGCTGCCCAGACAACAGGTGTGCCGTTTTCTGTGTGCTCAGGGAAGTGCTAAGACAAGAACTCGGGACTTTCCCACATGAGTCCAGGTTCCTTAACCCCTGCACCACCACCTGACCCTGAGATAATTTTTTGAGATTTTTGTGTCACTAAGCCGGTGTTAGGACCTGGGGAACTTGGAATAAAGGAATCTTTTCCAGGTACCCATAACTCCTTCATCATCCCTCTGAATATGCTAGTGTTGATGTATGCTCCGTAAAGTTAGGGCTTGAGAATAAAATGAGCATTTTTTTCTGAACTGGTGTCTTAAAGTCCTGCATATTAGGGGGGAAAAGCCCCAAGAGATGAAAGGCCCTCATCAGTGTGGAAGGCAGGGAGGTGATGACAGAGCATGAACTTTTTCCAGCAAGGGGAAGCTGAAGTCTTTTGTGTTTCAGACTTCTTAGCCTAATTTTACTATGTATAAAACAAACTAACAAAGTTTTGTCCTAATTTACCTTGTAGAAGATAATTGTTAAGGGCAGCTTTAAAGGCAAAAACTTACGTTTGCATTTTGGGACTTAATATTCAGGGCAGAGTTCTCTTAAGCAACAGATTCAAAATTTATTTTTAAGTAGTATTTATAAAATCCTGCAATTTTCCTGAAGGCTGCTATGGACTGTAGAAATAGTAGTAGGGAAAAGCTTTATTTGTTCTTTTTTTTTTTTTTTTTTTTTTGAGGTGTTTCGCTATAGGGACCGTGCCC